ATGCACGCAGCCACATGGCTTATGTACCGAGGCTCATTCAATATTTCCAGCAGGGTGTTAACACAAAACACCTGGGCATTTTCCAGGTGGGTATGTTCCCCCTTGTTTTGGGTATTTTCTAACAATGTGACACTGAGAATATAAAAATCACACCAAAATATAGAAGTGTATCTATCAGCTGTCATCTTAATGTCATTTATTTTAGTTTTTATTCGGCTGTTTCTGAAAGTGTCTGAGCATATGATTAAGCAGACCAGGCAGCTGCCAGTGTGAGGGAATGTGGTAACTACAGGAAAGGCCTCCCCCACAGTCAGGCACTTCAGTCACGTTGAGAGGGAGGGCCGCTAAGGCACGTAGGTTTAGTGCAGACTGTCTCTAAAGAGAGGAGCTAGTTTAAAATTTATTAATAGTCTATGAGCTGTTAACACCTTGGAACAATAGAGTTTATTCAATTACTTATTAAGAGAATAGGCATTTAGGATAGAGGTAGAACCCAAGACAGATAAATTCTGATAAAAGTCAAAAAGCCTAGAGTGAGATTCTGAAAGCAAATGGAAAAGTACCAAGACACACTCAGCCTGCTTTACACACTTGCCCTGAAATTGCCTGGGATGCTATGGTGTTTATCAGGACAGAGAACTTCACGATACTGTGATAATTAAAAAAAAAACCAAAAGCACACCTGGCAATTTTTAACTGTTCAGAAGAATGAGTTATACATGAAAACCACGGTTAACTAAAAATCAATCTAAATAACTTCAAAAAAGAGTAATCATTTGGTTCATAAAATGCCAATATATTTCAAGGTCCCCCTAGTATAAATATTGTAGTAGAATATATAGCTAATATTAATAGAAGTGAACTCTAAAATCATTTGCTCCATTCTATCTATTCTTATCATGATAAAGTATTATACCCTATTGCAGCTAAGCTCCAAAGTAAATGAAGTAAATTTACCTTTTTGCTATAGAATTTGCATTAAGAACTACCTACTTTCTGTTTATGTCTAAATAAATATATGTTTGTAATAGTTCCAAGAAGAATTATACATGAACTCATATAGGAATTTGGACTATTCATGGTCATTACTGAGCAGGTTTAAAAGACATGTAAATATTGCTTGCATGATCAGGTTAAAGACATAAGGTAAATTTTTTTAGTTTAGAATAAAGCATTGAAAAGTTTTTTCATATTGAAAAATGTCACTGACATTCCTTCAGGTAATAACCAGTACAGCAGTCCACCCCTTGTCTGTGAGAGATATATTTCAAGACCGCCAGTGGAAGCCTGATATTTACTGTGGATAGTATTAAATCATATGTATAACTGAAACTATGGAAAACAAATTTGTGAATAAGGCGGCACTACTGCATATATCTATAGTAGTATTGTATCTTTTAAATTACTACAATTTCCAGTAAATTCAAAACAACAAATGTATAGTGACATTTACTATAAACAATTAAGACATTCTTCTAGGAATTACAGAAACTGTGGAGACAGGAATGCATAGGCTTCTCTCAACATGTTTATAGTCTAAACAGATAGTAAAACAAATATATAACCAACCAAAATATTAGGTAAATAATTTATATCTATGAATATGGTGGGATCCAGAAATGCTCGATGGATACAAGACACTTGTGATGGGCACTGAATGCTGACCAGGGTCCTGGTACTTAGTAATTGATCCTAGAGTCCATCCTACATCAAGGGAATGCACATATCTATTAGGTATAATCATCTAATAATGTGCAGTCCAATTAGTAGGAGTGTGAGGTACAGGTGAAGAAGTAGTTATTATTTTAAGCATTTTTAAAGAAAGTATCAAATAGAACAATCTTAAAATTTGTACAGAACCATAAAAGACCCTGAATAATCAAAGCAATCTTGAGAAAAAAAAGAACCAGAGGCATCATGCTCTTTTATTTCAAACTATATTACAAGGCTTCAGTAATCAAAGTAGTATGTTATTGTCATTAAAACAGACTCACAGATCAATGTAGCCAAATAGAGACTCCAGAAATCAACTCACTCATATATGATCAACTAATTTATGACAAAGGAGCCAAGAATATTCCATGGGGAAGGGACAATCTCTTCAATAAGTGGTGTTGGGAAAACTGGACAGTAACATACCAAAGAATGTTACTTACACCATAGACCAAAATTAACTCAAAATGGATTGAAGATTTGATGTAAGACCCAAAAATCATAAAACTAGAAGAAAAGATAGGCAGTAAGCTTTTTGACATTTGTCTTGGCAATTAATTTTTTAAATTTTCAACAAAAGCAAAAATTAACAAGTGGGACTACATCAAACTAAAAAGTTTGCACACAGCAAAAGAAGCCATCAACGAAATGAAAAGACAACCCCACTGCATGGGAGAACATATTTAGCAGTGATACATCTGATAAGGGAGTAGTAAACAAAATTTATAAAGAACTCATAAAACTCAACACTAAAATAAACTGAACAATTCAGTTTTAAAAAGTAGACAAAGGACCTGCCTCTCCAAAAAGGACATACAGATGACATATAGACATATGAAAAGATGCTCAAATTCACAAATTAAAACCACAATGATGTATCACCTCACACCTGTCAGAATGGCTACCATCAATAAAAGAACAAATAAGTGTTGGTGAGGATGTGGAGAAAGGGGAACACTTATGCACTATGGGTGGGAATGCAGATTGGTGCAGCCACTGTGGAAAGCAGTATGGAGTTTTCTCAAAAAAAAAAAAAAAATGGAACCAACGACCTTATAACCTAGGAATCACACTTCTGGGTATATATCTGAAGAAACTCAAAACACTAATTAAAAGGAATATAATTAAGCAACCAAAGTGCCCATCAATAAACAAGTGGATAAAAAAGTGGTGGTACATATATACAACAGAATATTACTTGGCCATAAAAATGAATGAAATCTTAACATTTGTAAGAGCGTGGATGGACCTACAGGTATTATGCTAAATTAAAAAATCAGAGAAAGGTAAATACCATATGGGTTCACTTATATGTGGAATCTAAAGAACAATATAAACAAACAAAACAGCAACAGACATAGACACAGAAAAGAGACTGATGGTTGCCAAAAGGGCAGGGGTTGAGGGCCTGGATGAAAAAGCTGAAGGGGTTGAGGTGTACAAATCACTAGTTAAAAAACAGTCATGAGGATGTAAAATGCAGCTTAGAGAATATAGTCAATAATATTGTAATAACTATGTATGGTGCCAGTTGGGTACTGGAAATACTAGGGAGGAACACTTTGTGTATGACGGTCTAACCATTATGCTATACGCCTGAAACTAATGCAAGATAGTATTAAATGGTAACTCTAATTGAAAAAAAATCTTTTCAGCACCTATTGATATGTTTTTCACTTTAAATTTGTTGATGTTGAATTATATTGATAGAATTCCTATTATTTAATCACCTCAAAAAAACAAAACAAAACCTCTACTTGATTATATTGTAGGATTAAATGTAATTGTTTGGAATCATGTGTCTATATTCATAAACTTGGAAATGTATATACTCATAAATGAGACTGATCTAGTTTCCTGTTTTTGTATTTTTATTAAATTTGAGGGAAAAAGTAGTAGTTATCTAAATCCATACTTGACTCTATTAGACCACCTTATTGAATACATTCCCCTGGCTCTACAAGAATGTTTCTTACTCTGCCTGGGATGGCTCAGTTGGTTGGAATGTTACCCCATAAACAAAGGTTGCAGGTTTTATTCCTGGTCAGGGCACATGCTTAGCTTGCAGGTTTCATCTGCAGTCAGGGCACATACAAGAGGCAGCCAATCGCTGTGTCTTTCTTTTTCTATCTCCTTCCCTTCCCCTTTCTCTAAAATAAATAAGCATGTCCTCTGATAAGGATAAATAAATGAGTGAATGAAAGAATGTTTCTTTGTTTATATGTTATCATAGTGGATAGATTTGGTGAATGTTTTCAACACATTTTTTAAAAAGCGAATGATAAAGTCAGTTTGTATCTTTACACTGATTCTTGTATTCCCTCATGTCATGCTTTTCATTGCCCATCCTTTGACTCATCTCACTTTCCGCCATCTAGGCCTACTAATAACTTCTACAAGATACATCTTCCAGACCATGAATCTGATTCCACAATCAAATCACATTACTTCATGACTTGTGAAGACTCAGGATACGATCATGCCTGGCCGCTTACAGATCACAGCTCTCAACTGCTCTAAGACTGAGTTTTACAGTGAAACATGCTCCTAAATTCCTTCCTCTAAAAATCCTTCTATCATTGGCAGGAGTATAATTGAAGAATGGAAGTCTTTGATGAAATCTGGAAATACACACAGTACTTGATATGTGTAAGACTCTCTGCCAAGTATTCTCAGAATCATCTGAATGATGAATTGTAGCAATAATGCAGAGAAAGAACCTGGAACTTTGTAAACCATCAAGAGAAAAAAATAATTCAAGATTAGAAAGTCTTTGGAAAAAAAATCTGTTCTCCTTTGTCCTCTCCCTTTTCCCTCCCCAAAGGAACAGGAAGACAGAAGGCGTTAGGTCAAATACAGTTGACCCTTGAACAACATGGGTTTGAACTGTGTGGGTCTACTTATACAGAGATTGTTTTTCATTAAATACCTGTGCTGTCTTCTCTGTATGGCTGGGAGTTTGCTGATGCAGAGGGCTGACTCTATGCATTGATCTACACCATTTTATATAGGGGACTTGAGGATCTGCAGATTTTGTACCCACTCAGCATCCTGGAACAAATCCCCTTGGATACCAAGGGACAACTTAAGTTTTGGGGGAATCACAAATTATGTGTGCATTTTTGACTGTATAGAGGGGGTGTCAGTCCCCTAACTCCTGCACTGTTCAAGAGTCAACTGCCTTTATTTTTATGTGAAAATTTAACTTCTGTAGTTGGCTTTTCTTCTGTGCTGAGCTCCAATATTTTTTTAAAGAAGTCTGTTGTTTTGTTTTGTTTTTTTGGTAGGTGCAAGCCAGTTATGATGTGACACGCTATGAAAATATTTTCTCCCTCTTCTGGATTCTGGAGCAGCTTCTTCAAAAGGAAAATGAAGGCAACACTTCCGATATGGGGAATGATAACCAGGAAATCCAGAAATTTCTTCAGAAGCATGATGAAGCTATTTTCCAGCTATCTGATACATTTCCCTTACTTACTTTTTATTTATGGAGACTGGGCATTCTCTTGAACTCCATAGAAATAAAAACTGTTGAAGATAACTCACTTCCTTAGCAATTTACCAAATATCAGAAGCATACTAAAGTTGAATTTATCAAGATGTTCTACTTAAAAGATTGTCAAAAATATTTTTAAATGAGCATTTTAAATGGATCTCTACATGTAATCATTAATTAATAGTCCTTACTTTTGTATAAAAGATTATGGTTCATATTTCTATAACAGCCAGTATCAGCCTTATTCCCATGTAACTGTACCTTAAAATGGTACTCAATATAAGTCTATTATTCTCTAAAATGGACCATTAATTGTGTATATCATAAAAGATATTTACATTTTAAAATATTTCCATGTAATAGATACTAAAACGTAATGAAAGAGATCTTAAGAGTTTTATTGATTTATCTATACAGTATTTAAAATAAGAGGTTGTAAATTCAATTTTTAAAACTCTTAAGAGTTTCACTTACATCATTGTCTGTCATCATAGAAGGGATTTGTGTAGGAGGAGGAAAGTATTTAACATTGTAAAGGTAATTGCCTTTAATTTTATGTAATCAACATATCTGTCAAATCCTTTTGAAAGTACTAATTAGTTATTTAAATGTTTGTTTTTTTAAAAAAAGTTTGTTTTGATTCTGTTGGTTACATGTAATATTCCTATTGTTAAAATGTAATTAAGTCATGTATAAAAGTCATTAAGGAAATTTTCACAAATTGTTACATTTTTCTAGAAATATACTTTATACATACTAAAGATATTGGTTAAATTTTCCAGTTACACTACTTCGTTGACTTTATTTCAATTATTAAAATATACCTAACTAGCTTAATGAGCACACCAAATGTACTCTCCTGTAGTACAATTTAGGTCACAACAAACACAAATTTACTTCATTAATTATATGTGATCATTGTTTCATAAATTAATTACAATTCCCAAATGCCATTGGTATTTTTTGCATGTAAAACCATATCATTATCTGTCGATTACCTTTAGCTTTCTAGAGAAGATAAAGCCTTTTTTGCAATCCTGAGACTCAGTGTATGTATCAGTCAGCAACTGTTATATCGAAATCTCAGTGACATACAAGAATTATTTCCCTGATATGTGCATCACTCGGGGCTCAGCTCATCTGAACTGGGCTAGGCTGGAAAGCTCTGCTCAGGTTGCAGAGCTCACTGGGCTGGGCTCCTTGTTGCAAATTCGGTTTTGGTCTCTTCCACATGCACATATTGTGGAGCCCAGATTAAGGTGGAAAGAGCAACTCAGAGGAAGCTCTTCCGTGGCAGTGGCAGATTGGCAGGAGAAAAAGGACTAGGCTGAGCTGTCCCGCTGTAACTTCTGCCCGCATGCACTGGCCAGAGAACATCAAATGCCAAGGCCAGAGAAAAGGGACAGGGAAGTAGCTCCACCTGGAGTGGAAGAACTTACAAGTCATATTGCAAAGGTCATGGATACAGGAGACAGTGTAGAATTGGGGTGAGTAATTTACTCCACCACACATAGCAGTTGAACACAAAAAGGATATTCTAGATCTTGAATAATTCAAGAAACTTTCCTAATATTTCATTCCTGGGACTTGTACAAATTGCTTCAGTTAATGACACTACACAATACCCACTGTCCACGACACGCCCCCATCCTCTCTTCCATATGTTTGGACAAGGTTGGTAGATGTTCAGGCAACAGCAGGGGCCCTCTTCCCACTGCAGTCAGCCAACACAGGGGTCATAAGAACCCTTTTATAACCAGAACAGGTTTCTTAATTCCAGTAGTCTTCAAAGCTTCACAGTCTGAAAACTGGTCTGGGAAATGTATTGGTTATAGAATAACAGACAAGTGTTGGGAATCATTGGTAATGTATATAATGGAGATATATTTTATTTCTATTTGGTGGTATTTTTATGTAACCACTAAACTTCAGTCAATTATATGACACCTAATCTTTCATATTCTGTGTTTCAGTCTATAACAGTGTTAACTGCTGTAAATTTAGCATTGAGGTCTAAATGTACTGCTGATAAAAAAAAAAGATAAAATACAACATTTTTAACTGTATTTCAATAAAGCAGTGAAAGATAAAAAATGAGCAAATGAATGATTAAAACCAGAATTAAGAATATTTTATCCATTGAGATTTGATTAATGTAGGGCTACAATTAAGACTTTGGGGATAAGAATAATGGAGAGAGCAGAAACTGAGCAGTGCTGAAATTGGATTAGGATAGTGTGGGGAATAAAAGGAACCATAGAACAGCCCTAAAATGGAGGAGGAAATAGAAATGGTAAGTGCCAACACTCACATAGTATTTATATTCTACATACTCATAAATATACATATTAATATGTGGTATTACTATGACATTACATATATAATTATATGTATATTTTATATATTATTGATTTTATATTACATATAATACCTAATAACATGTTAATATATTAGTAATAACTAGATGCCAGGTACTAATCGAACCTTTTTGTATATATTAACTCATTTGATTCTCCCGGCAACCCTGTATGATAGGTAACATTAGTCCCTCCATTTTAGAGATGAGGTACTCAGGCAAAGGAATATTCAACAGCTTGCTCAAGTTCACACAACCAGGAAGACTGTGGTTTTACTTCCAGGGTTCTATCTGCCCAGACTATACTCTTTATTGCTGAGCATCGCTGCCTGTTCAGTGCAAACTGACATCTCACAAAACTCTCACAAATACCACACCTTTGTGACTGTCATCGAAGCTTTCCATGCCCTCAACTACAAATCTAATGGTATGGCAGTTAATATTAGCTTATTTTGGATTCTTCAAGCCCTGCAAAGCAGCTGTCCTGTCTACTACCATCTCTGAGCTACAGCATATTTGTCCTTTTCTAAACTGTATAGCATTTTATCACAGTCAAAACATCTTCAAATATTAATGTTCTAAAAAGTGCAAAACTCACTCAAAAGGTGCGGTGGCTGGACTGTCAGGCTGCAGCGCTCTCCCCAGTGGGGAGGAAACAAATGTGATTGTTTTGTACTGGGCTCTGTAGATAGATATTGGTGATATTTTATGCAGCCCTTTCACAAACTGTTGGACTTTTCAGTCACATTTGTTGGCATTCTATAAATAGGGCAGTATATTCTTAGAGAGGCGAGGAAAATAAAACTGTTTACATTTACAAATTTTTATGTACCTTCATGGATTTTTAAAAACATATTGGTGACTCTGGCTTATGATAGTCTGGTTTTATTTATTCATCCAATATTAAGCACCAACTTTGTGCAAACCAATTATTTACACATATAAAATATAAGCATATTAAGTTTTACATTTTATCAGATTTATAAAAACAAAATTTTCTTTTAACAGTCAATATAATGACCCAACAGCATCCATATAGATAGATGATAGATGACAGAAGATAGAGTGATAACATTGACCTAATATTGAAAAAGATACAGGATTTTTATTATTACGGGAAGCCAATTAATTCACTTTAAATTATTTATGGAATCGGGCAACATTAAATGCATTTAGTCAATGAATGGGCTGCTCTTTTAGAATTGTCAAAATATTAGAGAGTATAACATACAGGAAATGACCTTAGCTTTTTTCGTCTTTGTTTTTCCTTTAATATGAAAATCCTCTTAGTAGTGATAGGAACCTATTACTACTACTAAGAAGCAAAGCTTATAAAAAGAAAATATGACACATTCAAGACATTGAAATAATTAACTTTATAATTCATAGATATATACTCTGAATCTGTAATATTTTCTTCTGATATTTTATCTAATTTTTGTTGTAGCCACTTACCTGGTTGGTGAATATCTATTATATTTCAGTCAGTAGTTGTGTTTCATAGCCAATCCATTGGGGCATCAAGATTTACAACACTAATCTCAGCAGTCTCTGATCTATATATAAAGCAGTGATTCTCAAATGTGGTCTCCAGGCCACCGGCATCAGCAACACTCAGGCCCCCGTTAGACATACAAATTCTAGGGCCCCACCGCAGACCTACTTCAGAATCACAAAGGCTAGGGTGGAGCCCAGATTTCTGTTTTATCAAGTCCTATAGGTGGGTCTGATGCCCACCAAGGTTTGAGAACCACTGCTATAATCACTGTTTTTTGCTGCACAGGAGAAATTAATCTATATAAAATCATACACAAAGTAGAAATTTAGTCATCCCAAATTCCTTAATGAATTATTTAATTTTCTCTGCATGTGCCTTAAAATTCCAAAGGAGGATTTTGTGGAACTTAATTATTCATGATTCACTTAAAATGAGTATCTAACTTGTAAAAATATCTGTCAACCTTAATAACACTTCAGAAAAATTAGCATCATTATACTTAGCTTGTAGTTCCTTCACTAAAATAATGGCTTCCTATTGGTGTATTTTAAAAAATTATTACAATCCAAGTTTAAGAGATATAAATTAATGAGAGCTTTCTGCATTAGCCCTGGTATATACAGTGATGAACATGCAGAAAGATGCAAACATAATGTTACTTTACTCCTAAGTTGGGATACTAGGTAAAATAATATCTAATAATATCAGAATATTCATCTTATTCCCAGAGATCTGTTTTTATACATGTGATAAATATAGCATAGTAGCAAATATATTTTTCTATCCTAGAGATGAAATTCTATCTTCTTTAAATCCTCTGGAATATGGTGAGATGTAAATAAGTAATAAACAATTGCCTGTTCTCAGCTCTTGGGCTTAATTTATTTCCAGCATGTTGCGTCGCTTCCACATTACTGTGAGCTCCAGAGCTGCCCAAGGACAGCACCCCTAATGGGATAAAGGCACAGAGCTATCACTGCTTTTAGCCTGAATGATTTAGCTACTAAGACCTTTCCATGAATGCTTAATCATTTCAGGAAGAACAGAAACACCAAACACTTACCCAGCAGGGAAAAGGATATGTTTGTTCTTAACGCACTCTCAAACACACACTCAACATTCATTTTGTAAAAAAAAGATCCAAAGCTCTTGAAACTAATTTTAAAGTTTGAAAAAAATCCTCTTATGTTTTACCTCCTTACCTTAAAG